ATTTTGGTTTTTAAAATTTAATATTATTTTGATTTTGGTCGTGACTAAAAATATTAAACCAAACTAAAATAAAGTCAAATTTTAGTAATTAAAACAACTTGTTTAAAATTTTAAAGATCAAAACAAAAATAAAGTTCAATTTTATGGATCAAAACTTTTGGTTTCAAATTTCAAGGACCAAAACTAAAATAAGATCAAATATTAAGGAGTAAAAATTATATAAACCCTAAAATAAAAATAAACCTAAAATAATAGTGTTGTCAAATTTATCAATAAATTTTTTACGAATTATATAATTAGTTTAAAATGAAATTAAAATTTTAAAGTAGGAAAAACAAATGGGAGAACTATCATAACTCCCAAGTAAAGAATATAATTATAATTACCAAAAAAATCTTAGTAACAACAGAGTAAACTATAATGATAAGTTTCATGATAGTAAATAACAACTGTTCACTTGTTACTGAAATTTACTAGTAGTTATTTTTTTCTTAAAACTTCATGTAATTCTCCCAAAACAAATACAAATGATCTAACATATAACTTGCAAGTAAGACCTCTCATAGGGCATATTGCGTATTTAGATTTGACAGTTGGAAACTATGAAATTTAGCCCCAAAAAAAAAACAAAGAACTGCTATATGTAACGACGATTATCTTTAGCCTATTACTAACCTTTTTAAATTCAAAATTTAATAATACTAATCATGGTAGAAAAGAATTTTAATATAATCTTTGAAAAAGCTACCATGGTTATAAAAAGAAATTTGATTTGTCAAATATGTTAACCATGATTAATAGTATTTCACAATAATTGGGTTTTGGACTTTATGAAGTGCAGAACATCACATTTAACTCTAAGCCCATAACATGATATTTTCTTAACAAAATGCTTGTAGACCAATGGTGATTAACTATCTTCGAAAGTCATTGTAGATCCACAACTCACAAATACAAACAACCTGACAATAAAAGTAAGTAAGACCATCAATTTTACACAAATCAAAGTACGCAAAAAGAGCTATAGGTGACAATATACAATACTCATCATATGGTAAAAAAAAAACTATACAAGATAAACTTGATAGCTAAGCCTCCGCTGCCTTCCCTGACAGACTAGCCCTAGAGCTATTACATGGAAATGTTAAACTATAGGGTGAAACAAAAATCTCAGTAATCAACAATCCTATTCATTAGGCATACAAGTAAGTACTTGGGAGATGTCAAGTGAAACAGTTACAAAAATCATAATATTCACAATTGTCACATGGTTATATATATACATATCAAAATACAATATCTCACTCTCAATTCCACCTTATTTCCTCACACCTTATTTCTTCTGCTGAACCTATGGGTTAGTATTGTCTCATGTAACTGGTAGCTCAACATAACAAGCTCACTCATCAAGTGATGTGAACAGCCTAAAATTCATAAAGCACAAGATCAAACCATGGGTTCTCCCTCTAGTCCACTAGTGGGGTGTCATACACCTTACAACACATGAAAGAGTCAAAGGATCAACCAATGTATATCTGGCATTCTCCTACCTTATTATCTCTATAATATATACAAAATTCACCCTTTATTCTCCCTATACTATGTCTCCCACCAATCAACGTTTACAATCCCCTCTCATGTTTATACTCATAAGATTTATAAAATAATTATTTACCAATAACATCATAATTTTCACATTTACCAAAATCAAGATTTTTAAATTTCAATAATTAATATCAATCCTCAAAACCATTTCTCAAATAAATTCATGTTGCACATGACAACTTTTTTCATAACTATTTTTCAATAATATAAAGTATCTCAAGGTCATTTCCACAATAATACATTTCATTACTCAAATTATAGTCCAATGGCATTTCAAGAATCTCATGAAATCACTCACAAACACCATACAAGCATACATAAAAGTGGAAAGTGGTCACCTTTCATCAAAGCTATGAAAAGAATTACCACAAAGTCAACCCCGTGTTCAAACTAATAATCCAATAATTAATCTACACAATTAATATAACCACATATTAATACAAGCTAATTAATTAAGCTTATATATATCAACTAAATTTCTATTTTAATTTAATTTAATTTATATTCTAAATTCCCACAACTCTCATAACCTAAAATTAAGTATTTTAGAACTAACTTATAAATTTTCTAACAAGCCAAAATATTTATTTACATTCTCCAGATTATTTAATCAAATAAAAGAATTTTTTCCAAAATTTTCAAATATGAAATTATTATATTTTAAATTCTAAAAATATCATTTCAAGTTTAAACTTCAAAACCAAACCATCAAAAATTCAATAGTATCTCAAATATTTTAAAATATATATATATATATATATATACATAATCTAATCAAAATTTTAATTGTATAACTATCAGATTTCTTTTTCTTCACAAGTAATAGAATTTTAGCTAAAATACTTATTTAAAAACCTCCAATTACCCAATAAATAAAAATAAACCAATTAAAATATCAATAATATGTCAAACCCAAATAACTTATTTAACTTGATTTTAATCAGTAAAAATATGATAAATATCATAAATAATAGATTTTTCAACTAAATAAATCAATTTAAATTCAAAAAACTGATAAATGGGCAAATCTAAACAACTAGAAATGATATACTATAATAGATCTACAATATTATGGTTAACACTCATCAAAACTCAACTTATCCCATATATAAGTCTCAAAATTTTTTCTAATTACTATAATAATATTGTCATTAAAAAGCTTAAAATATATAAAAAAATATTCATGAAGAAAGTTTGATTAAAAAATAATTTTATATACCTAAATTATCTCCAAAGCTTACCCTCTCTTTCATAAAGACCACAGCTCTACTCTTGCTATCTCTCTCTTACTCTCTTTTTATCTTTCCCTCTTTCTCTCTCGCACTCGCATCTTCTGCCTCCCATTTTCTCTTCTATTTTTCATCTCATTCCATCTTCCAACTACCCCATCTCCAATTTTCTTCTTTCATTAAATCCTTCTCCCCCAAATTTCCTCCTCCTTTAATGCTGCCGGGAAAAGCATGTGTGTTTTTTTTTCCAAAAAAAAATTAAAAAATTATTATATTATAATAATAAAATATTATTATATTTTACTTTTTTTTTACTTTTTTTATAAATCCTAAAATAAAATTTATGATATTACAATATGCTTTGTCAATTCTGAAGTAAAGAATAAAATTTGAGGTTTTCAACTCAATAATCAAAGAGACAATAGTGACCAAGTTAAATGGTGTTCAGAGGTGAAAACTCGAGTTTTTGAAATTGACAAAAGGACAACACAAAAACTTCCAGCTTTTACAAACTCAGCTTTGTGGGAAGTAAAAACTCGTGTTTATTACTCTACTGGTTGTAAGGAAGAATTTTTCACTTTATTAGTCATAAGGGGAATTTGATGTCTTATGGAAAGTAAGAGGAAGAGTTTCACAGGTGGTGTTTGAGTTGTTATAATCGGTTTAAATCTTAAGGAGAATAGTGGATTTAAAAATCTTAGAAGGTTCCAAAACATTGGACAAAAGTCAGCAGAGAAACTGAATTGGGATAAAATCATTTTGCATCATCTTCCTTCATAGTCTATTTTGTCCTTTTCAATTTCATCTTGTGATAATCTTGCACGAGAATTATTATTACTAAGTCACAAGTAAACAACATAATCACTAAAAAATTCCAGTGAAAACAAAGCAATAATGACAAGTTTCATGCTAATGAATAACAACCGCTAATTTGTTATTAAGACTTACTAATAATTATTTTCTTTTTTTGAGACTTCATTGTAATTCTCCCTATAATCTTAATAGGTTTTATTTTGTGGCATGCAGAGAATCTAGAAAATGGATTCATGATCCCATAAATTTAAGAAAAGCAAGCAAGCATGAGAATGGAATTTGGTTAAACTAGTACCTTTTATACATAACACCTAACACAACAACTAAATATTTTCAACAAACTAAAACTATTGACTTATCCCTTTTTTATTAATTTTAAGTATAGCTGTCATAGCCAGTAAGTCCTTACCGAATATTTTGTCATGCTTTTAGCGGTGAAAGTTTTTCATTGGTTTGAGGAGTTTGATGTCATGTACTTATTGAAAGGAATAGCTGAAAGTAATTAAAAAACTATATTGAACGAAGACATAAAAATATCAGTAAAAACCAAATTAACCAATACCAAACCAAGGAAAGATCATACAAAATGATATAAAACATGACATCCAATAAACCTTTCTTCCCCCTTAAATTTTCTTTTCATGGCTTAGCAAATGCCTTGAAATTGGATTAAATGCTAAACCAATTGGCATTGCAAGTAGTAGTCAGGACTCTGGCAGTTCCTTGGACAAGTAGGCAGATACTAATACCTTCTTTCAGATATTGCTACCTTCTTTTGAATTGTGTTTGCAGGAAAAATGGTTATTTTGCAGACATTTAAATGCGAGGCGAAAAAACAACTCTCTCTGTGGCATCAGAGGTAAGAGGTAAGTACCAGGTACTAAATATCAGAAGAGTGCATAGCTAATTAAACCAAGAATCTAAGGCTCTATGGAAGTCAAGCAATTAACACTCGTTGCAAAAGCATGAAAATACAAGTGGGCGAAGCAGAGTGGTTGGGGTGAAATATTATAGTATTTTCAATCATTGTACAAAGATCCAAAGTGATGAGGTATCACATAAGAAGTCATTTGAAAGTGCCTACAATATAATTCTGGAGCGGAAGACCTTTGTTAAGCCCATTGCCATTTATTTCACACTACTTGGGGGAAGATGGACTTCCTCATAGATACTATTGTGCTTGGCATACTACTCTAATCTACCAATGATCCAAGATCACACACCGGAAGTGGGAATGAAAACTGCTCACGCAGGGTCATATACAGCGTATTTAGTTCATTTTGGTTAGCTCGACAAAAAGTCCAAAATAATCCACACATCAGCAGCTCAATTATAATAACCTGATATTGGAGATAGGTCAAATAAAGCTACAATTATCTTGTATTGCATATCTGCAATCATCATTCATCATGCTTGATATGGTTACGGAATGAACTAAACTCTTACAGGTTATAGGTTCATTTTCACTAAAAGTGCCTAAACAAAGTAGATATGAAATATAATAAGCAAGATATAGGACCAAAGCTATTCAGTGTGGATGTTACCGATTGGCACAAGGCTCTCGGCATATTTGAAAATACCATAACCAAGGGCAAATTTGCGGACATCAAACGTCTTAACTTGATTAGTTTTGAGATTGAACATGACAATATTTCGTTCATGATTCTCTACTCCATCTTCAGCTTCATCAAGAGTTCTGTGAATATTGCAGACAATTTCATTCTTCCATATAATCCTAGGAGATAACAAGAAGTCTGGATAAGGGTTGCTAGTATATTTCTTAGTCCAACTCCATCCCTCCTTATTTGCGCCTGTCCTCTCCTCCATCACCCACAAATGAATCAAAGACGACCTCGAGTCTCCACTCAAAATGACACAAAGCATAGCAAGTGTGTTCTCATGTACAGTAAGATATGTAGTTCCAACAGCAAAAGGTGAAGGAGGCGCTGGTATCAATTTAAACACTTCCATTGCTACGTCAAATGAGACTCTAAAAGTAATACTATCTTCATCCTCCTCTACACCTAGCTTTAGCCCAATCCAAAATATGGCTCCATTAGTAGTGAAACCATCATAATGAATACACTTCCACTTGATTAACCAGATGGTCAATCTCAGAAACACGAATTTTCACCATCTTGTAACCATGAACAGTAGGACTGAACCCAAATCCTACACAAAAATGCTCATCCTCAGGATCATTAACAACACTAAGCACCCGTCTCACCTCTCTTGTCGCTGGATTTCACACTAAAAGGGAAAGGGATCTAGGAAAAGCAGCGATTCCAACACAGAGCAAGCCACGGCAGTAATCGATGGTCCAGCCACACCACCGCGTAGAATCGATAAAAGGGTCGTTCGGAACCTCAACGACTTGCATCTCAAGATCGAGCAAGCATACGCGAAATGGATCAGATTTGCCAAAATCTTCTAAGAGAAGAGAAAGGTCCTGATGAGAGGAGTGGTGGAGGTGTTCAGCGATAAAAGATGGGGTTTTCAAGATGTTTGCAGACACATCGAAATCGGACTAGGGATTTTACCGGGAGGCGTATGAGAATGTTGGTGATGACATCTTGGGGAAGAACTGGATTGTCGCCGACCATTTCCCCGCTCGACTGCGAAGTCTGACTGAGGAAAGCCAAGCCCGGGCGCAGTGATAGGGAACCAGGGATTATTTCTGAGAACAAGCAATACTTCATGATTGTTTTGCATGTATTTTAAATAGCAGATTTTTATTATAACTAAGTTGGAACTCATTATCCTACATCAAGAAGTACGTTAAATTAATAAAAAAAACTAGCACAGTATCCGTGCAATGCACGGCCATGAATTAATTAGTACTCCTTTATATAGTATGAAAAATTGAATCACTATATAATGGTTAGTTAAAATTTATATACATGTTTAGAACATAAGATTATAAAAAGTCTCTTTGTAAATAATTTTGAATGTTTTTTTTTTTGTGTGACACGTATATCATCTGAACGTCGTTGCTCCTAGATGGTTTTTTTTTTTTTGTCTAATACAGATTGATCCTAAATGTTATATCTGCTCTTATAACATGTTTTGCTAATATATATAATCACAATATAATTTTGCTATGCATAAACATGATTGAAGCACTCAATTTTGATGGAAGAATGTAAATTAGAAATCATTATTGGATGGGACCTGTTTTCATTATTTCTTAGTTGGGTTGTCACACCATGAAGCTTATTTTGATCTCTTGCTTTTATATATATAGTAATGGTTAGGTATTACTTTCAGTTTTTTAAATATAAGAACCCATGCATATATTTAAAATAGAAATTGAGATCATAAAAGAACAATGAGATCAAAATCACTAACGTGGCCCACTATGAAGCTTGCTTGGGTATATGTTTTTATGTATATACTCCTCCGGTCCTTAATATAAGACCCAATTGTTGAGTTGGTTTTGGTCCTAAATATAAGACACATTTCTCATATTTATCAATTTTCTCTAAATCACCCCTATGGATACTCTATCAACCATAATCAAGTAGAAGATAGAGAAGGGTATTAAGAAAGATGATTATGGTATTTTAGGAAAAACGTGTCACAATTTTTATAATTAACTAACTTACCTAACTTCCTTAATCTAATCAAATTAGTTAAATGGGTCCTATATTAAGGACCGGAGGAGTAATAGTTATTTGATTTTTAGGCTTTTCTTAATTTGAAATTTAAAATACACCCGTACGCTCAAGTAGGAAAATATGGAATCATACATTCAAATAAATAGGGGCTTGATGAGAGAAGTTATATCATTTTTATATTTTTTAATTTAAAATTTAAAATATTTATTCAAGAGCTTTATTCCAAATCTAAAATATAAAATAAATATTATATATTTTAGATGTAAATATAGTAATGAATTTTAACTACTAAATATTTTAAATATCTTAAGTGAAAGTCTGAAATGTAAAACAATTTCATTAAATAAGAAACAAAAAATGAGCTATTTTCTATCCGATAAGAAAATGCCCACATCTATTTTTTATTTAAAATTATTGAATAATAGCCCATTAAATAAGAAATAGGATAATGGATAAGAATTGAATGGGAATAAACAATAAGTATCGTGGAAATAAACAACTTCCCTTAACTTAAAATTTAAAATATTTTTTTAAGATGAGTTTTAATTTTAAGATCTAAATAAACAACTCAACTAAAATAATTTAAATAGAAATAATGCATCATGAGAGATAACTGTCAAGATGTGAAGAATGCATAAATAGAGGAGCTGCACATAGAATTTTGGGTTTCACAAAATAGAAAAATAAAGCCCATATATGCATTCTGGTGAAGAGACGTGATGGCTTCGTGGATATGTAGGATGGGCTCCATATATAACACACAAAGTGAAATCACTATGGAATGGTTCATTGAAATTCACTTTTACCTCAAAATATAGTGTTACAAAAAGTTTCTTTTTGAATATTAATTTTTTTTCCTTTCTAGCTATCACAGGGACGTAATTTTAGGTTAGACTGAATAAATAAACTTTATATGTGACTTTACTTTAGGATACAATTTTATATATTTCATTTTGCTCTTGACCTTAATATTATATATTGTAGTCAATATGCTAAATGTAAGTTTATTCTAGAATTCAAACAGGTTTCAGTTAACTCGCACCTATTTAATAGGTTGTGGTATGAGATATCGAGACCACATATTCTGCCCATTGCACAACACCAGATGCAAGTCTTTTTAAATTCTTATAACTTACTTAAGTTATATTGAATAAATATATATATATTTTTTGCGTGGTGCATCCGGTATCCTAGGGCAGGCCATTTTTTAGGCACATTAATGGTATCAGACTAATCTGGATCATCGTTTGTAGGCCCCTCAATGAGGAGGATCGACTGGCCCCTAGAGTATTGCGTACCCACGTCTCGAACTCAAGACTCGTGGTTAAGCTAAAATAATCCCGACCAGCTGATCTAACCCATTGGGGTTATATTGAATAAATATATTTTATGATGAAAATAATGCTAAAATGTCTTAAGGACACAATCTTATATATTTTATTTTTGTCTTCAACTCAATAATATAATATACTTCAATTTTTTTAAATAGAAATATGATTACATATCAATAAGATTAAATAAAATAACAATTTTGGATTGACATAGACTGATTGCAAAATAGAAAAATAAAGCCCATATATGCATTCTGGTGAAGAGAGTGATAAAGAAAGCAAAGTAGATAACCAAGAAGCTTTCTCTTCGTGAACTCTGCAACTAAGCAACTATTATGCATATACAATTATGATGCGCAAAAATTTCATAAAGTAGCTACTGCTAGTTTACAATAACATTTACTTGAGGAATTCCGATTAACAGCAGGAGCATAAGTTTTATAAGGAATGAGTTGATAAGTAACAATATATATTCTTATACCTGAAAAGCAATTAAGCAACTATAGAACATGCTACATTTGGTAGGAATAGTCAATCTAGACCATTGCAACCCGTCACAAAAGGTTTAGCGCATATGCATGTGGATCTGGTATGTGCGTGAGTGCATGGAAATTTAGGTCAAGGTAGTAAAAGCTCTAAGCACTTCAAAGTAAATTCTGGGAAGTAAAAATACATGGAGCACCAAAGAGAAGTTGTATGAATCAAATTATGAAAGCAAGTCAACCTTTAATGATCTTTTGTGATGGGCTGAGAGCACTATGTGTTTTGCTTTGATGCTCTCCTTTACATTAGCTTTGCTGTCGTCTACAGCATAACACAATAAATAAGTGAATGAGTGGAGCAATAAATGAAGAAGTCAGAAGTTGAAATGTTGATATTTGCAAAACAAAACAATGAGATAAACATGTTTTTTCTTTGTTGTTAATGCTATAAATTAAATTTTCTAGGAAAGATCAAACTGGTTATACCTGATGAAAATTGTGCACATGTTTATTAAAAGCATCCATTCCCATATCACAGTTGTTCCTTGGACCTTGTGTTCGTTCCCATCTGATAAGTACCACTTTGAAGAGACGGCTGACCTCTACTGTCACCAACAAATGAATCCTACAAGAAGATGAAGAAAGGAAAAGAAATAGAAATCATGAAAATTAAACTCCTTCTTTTCTATGCTATCGAAAGAATTCGCAGAGAAGAAACATATCCAAATTAGAATAACAAAAACAATAAGATGATAAGAGAGAGAAAGAGAGAGAGCAGACAAAGATGAAACTTAGACGCCTTCGCTCGTTACAAGGCTATTTGAATCATCCAACAATTCTCCCTGTTTGGTGTCTTCTCATATATGATTTAAAATTCAAATTTTAAAAGTTCCAAAAAACAAAATTGTAACTTTCTGATAGGAATTGTGGCTTTTGCCCCCAAAAAAAAGGAAAATAAAAATTAAGAAAAACACCTAGGAAGCGGAGAAAGTGGGTAAAAGGTGACGGATGATGGAAGTTATCTTAACTTCCCACTTAATTGCAGTCAAATAGTTTACGCAAAATAGGAGAGGATATCACAATTTTTGAGGTGATTGATCATGATAATGAGAATTGTAGGAACAAAAATAAAATTAGAAGTTTTTAGAAAGCAAAATAAATACAATTTCCTCTAGAAAGCCATGGGCAGGAGAGATATCAAGGCCCTGATTAACCCCAAAGCGTAAATATCGAATATGAGTCGTATAAATATGACAATAAATTAAATATAAATAAAAAAATCTTTACAGTTGGTTATTTATAACTCTTTCTATAATTTATCAATTTATAAATCAATTTAAATAGTATGTGGCCAATTTAAATATTTAATGGCATAACCGTGTTTTAGCTGGCACATGTGTCCGGATCTTGTGATTATAGCTCTTCTTATATTTAAAACTGTATTTATTGGCCACTTAAAATTTTAAACTGCCACGTGTTTCCAGATTTTGTGATTATAGCTCTTCCTATAATTTATCAATTTATAAATCAATTTAAATATTAAGTGGCCAATTTACATATTTAGCTGCATGACTGTGAAAATTGCTGATAAATATATAATAAAAAACTGCCACGTGTTTTTGGATTTTGTGATTATATTAATTATTAAACTAGAATCTAAACTTATTTAGAATTTTGGTTTTTTGTAAAGACTAGAAAAGTAAAACATATTTATTTGACACTATGGGTAAGTTATGTATAGGGACGTGCGGAACATGGGTAGGAACATGACTTTTACCCAAAAAAAGAAAAAGAAAACCATTTATCTACACATAGAGAATGCCACATGTCATGCTGCCAGCAACTCCTGTACTCTACTTTTATATATTAATAGATTAAATTTATTTTTATTAATTTTTTTTCTTTTTATATTTATAAATCATTCTTGCCTATCTCATTTTCTAGCGAAATTAAATAAAAGTAAGATTAAAAAATGATTCTTAAATACTCAATAAGTAACTTATATTTAATATAAAAAGCCCCCTATAAATGACTTTTGTTATAAAAA